TGTGTGTGTGTGTGTGGTCGGGCAGCGCGCGTGCACTCCCGTTTCGCGCCTTTCATCTACCGCGCGCTGCCCGGCTCCCGCCAGTTCGTCTCACCGCCTATCTGAAAGACAGAAAAAAACAAGATTCCGAAGCAGGGAGGAGGGCGGGTCGTGGAGCACCCACGGGGACACACCTCGAAGAACGATCGTTACTGCACGAAGTGAGTAACTTCCTTTTCTTCTTCGGGTAGTCCCCGTGGGTGCTCCACTTCTGGTGACTCCGAAGCAGTAATCTCGGCTAAACGTGTGTTTCGGAATCGGTATTCCGAGCAGTAGGCAACACTGCCAAGGCTACTGCTGAGTCAGTGGTGAAGTGCTGAACAATTGCATAATGTCTTGAAAAGGTAGAATTTGAAGACCAAGTTGCAGCACGGCAGATGTCACGAAGAGGGACACCTTTCACGAAAGCTGTAGACGTAGCGACTGCTCGTGTTGAGTGAGCTCTAGGTTGCGAGGTGAGAGACTTCTTACGGATAGTATAGCACGTCGTGATACAAGAGACAACCAGCTTGGAAATGCGCTGGGCGGATAAGGACTTGCCCCTGTAGAAGAGCCCGATGTTGAGATAGAGGCGGTCCGTCTTACGTAAAGTACGGGTTCTGTCTATATAGAAAGCCAGGGCTCTGCGGACATCGAGCGTATGCAGGAGAGCGTCTCGCTGAGATGCATGCGGTTTTGGGTAGAAACATGGCAAAACAATTGGTTCGTTTATGTGAAATTCCGTACATACTTTAGGTAGAAAGGCTGGATGAGACCTCAGTATCACTGATTCCGGGTTGAAGACCGTATAGGGAGGCGTTGACATTAGTGCGGATAACTCGCTCACCCTGCGTGCTGATGTTATAGCCAGAAGAAAAAGTACCTTCATCGTAAGCATCGGTAGCGGTACCGTGGCCAGCGGTTCAAACGGTGGCCCAGTGAGGACATCGATAACCAGGTCAAGACTCCATACAGGTGGCGGAGGTCTCCGTGGTGGGTTGAGGTTAGCCAATCCTCTGAGAAATCTAACCATCATGGGGTGAGAAAAAACCGACTTGCCTTCAACGGGGTAGTGAAAAGCAGCTATTGCCGCTATGTGGACCTTAAGTGATGAAATGGCTAGTCCGGTTGCCTGCAGCTGAAGGACATAGTCCAATAAGACATGCATCGGCGAAAGCAAGGGATCCAGGAGTTTAGGAGCACACCATCGTACAAATCTGGACCACTTTGACAGGTAGGTTTTCCTGGTGGAATCTCTCCTGCTGTGCAGGAGAACACGCTTCACTTGGTCCGAACAAAGATTCTCGGACTCGCTGAACCATGTACCATCCATGCAGTGAGGTGCAGAGTGTCCAGCTTCGGGTGACGCAGTGAGCCTCTCTGTTGTGTCAGCAAATCTGGTAGGCAAGGCAGTCGGCGCGGTGCTCGTACAGAGAGCTGCCGAAGGGTTGAGTACCATGGCTGCCTGGGCCATGCTGGGGCTATAAGTATCACTCGTGCCCTGTCCATCACAACCTTCTCGAGTACTCTGGGAATGAGTACAACAGGGGGGAATGCATACAAGAGTGATGTGCCCCAGGGAAGGAGGAATGCATCTCCCAGCAAGTGAGGTCCCACTCCCGCTCTGGAACAGTAAGCTCTGCATTTTGCGTTGGCACGTGTTGCAAAGAGATCTATCGTCGGAAACCCCCACTGATGGAAGAGAGTTAAGAGGACATCTGTGCGGATCACCCACTCGTGGTCCTGGGGGAAATACCTGCTCAGTGCATCGGCTGTGGTATTGTTCACACCCGGTAAGTATGACGCAACTATAGAGATGTTGTTTCGAATGCACCATTTCCAGAGACGGATAGCCTCCGCACAAAGTGAGCGGGACCGGGCACCCCCCTGTCTGTTTACGTAGTACATTGCGACTACATTGTCCGTGAGGATTCTGGTGACAGTACCTTTTATGTATACCTTGAAGTGTTTGCAGGCATGAAACACGGCTCGAAGCTCGAGAAGATTGATGTGGAGCATCATCTCCGTAGTGGACCAACGACCCTGAACTGTTTTTGTGCCCATGTGGGCACCCCAGCCGATGAGAGAAGCGTCTGTGGTTATCTCTCGTGACGGTTGTGGTGCATGGAAGGGAACTCCTGACAACATGTTGTTGTGATTCGTCCACCATACTAGGGAGTCTTTGACATGTACTGGAAGTACTACCGTCTTGCGAATGCTGTGGTCGGTAGGCTTGTAAACCGTGCTTAGCCAATGCTGCAGACACCTGAGGTGCAGTCTTGAATGGCGCACTATGATTGTCGTGGAAGCCATATGTCCCAGAAGCTGGAGACATACGCGTACCGGGAGCATTGGAGCGTGCAAAACTGTTTTTATCAGATCTTGCATTACTTGAAAACGCTCGAGTGGAAGATGGACTCTTTCCGACTGGGAGTCGAGACGCGCTCCTATGAAGGTTAAAATCTGCGTAGGTCGTGGGCGCGATTTTTGAGTGTTCACGATAAGGCCGAGGGAGTCGAACAACTCCTGAGTTGCGACTACCATGTGTTGAGCCTCTAACTGGGTGCGCGCCTTGATGAGGCAATCGTCGA